ATGTCTATACCTCCTACACTGAAGATTGATGTCTATACCTCCTACACTGAAGATTGATGTCTATACCTCCTTCACTGAAGATTGATGTCTATACGTCCTTCACTGAAGATTGAAGTCTATACCTCCTACACTGAAGATTGATGTCTAAGCCTCCTACACTGAAGATTGATGTCTAAACCTCCTACACTGGAGATTGATGTCTAAACCTCCTACACTGAAGATTGATGTCTAAGCCTCCTACACTGAAGATTGATGTCTAAACCTCCTACACTGATGATTGATGTCTAAGCCTCCTACACTGAAGATTGATGTCTAAACCTCCTACACCGAAGATTGATGTCTAAGCCTCCTACACTGAAGATTGATGTCTAAACCTCCTACACTGAAGATTGATGTCTAAACCTCCTACACTGAAGATTGATGTCTAAACATCCTTCACTGAAGATTGATGTTTAAATTTGTTACACTCAGAATGATGTTTAAACTTGTTACAAACAGATTGATGTCTAAACCTCCTACACTGAAGATTGATGTCTAAACATCCTACACTGAAGATTGATAGCTAAGCCTCCTTCACTGAAGATTGATGTTTAAATTTGTTACACTCAGAATGATGTTTAAACTTGTTACAAACAGATTGATGTCTTAACCTCCAACACTGAAGATGCATATACCTCCTACACTGAAGAATGATATATAAACTTGTTACTAACAGATTGATGTCTTAACTTCCAACACTGAAGATTGATGTCTAAACTTGTTACAAACAGAATAATGTTTAAATTTGTTACACTCAGAATGTTTAAACTTGTTACAAACAGATTGATGTCTGAAACCTCCTACACTGAAGATTGATGTCTAAATCTCCAATACTCAAGATTGATGTCTAAATCTCCTACACTGAAGATTGATGTCTAAACTTGTTACAAACAGATTGATGTCTAAACCTCCTACACTCAGACTGACATCTTAACCTGTTACACTGACACATATTTTTTCGCTTCTATTTTCTGAACATAACAATAGCTGAATTTTCTCCTCGGTCTGTGCTTTCGTAATTTCAATCATATTGTTTTTACAACCACTTTCAACTATCATAGATGTCTTAACCTGCTACACTCATATTGATGTCTACATCTGATTAATTTATATAGCTCTTAAATCTTAAACTTTTATACCCAGAATCTGAGTCTCTAACACCAAGAATGATGCCTAAGTCTTTTACACTCAGATTGATGACTAAATCTCTTACACTCAGATTGATGTCTAAGTCTCTTTCACACACAAAGTGATGTTTTAATCTCTTACACTCAGATTGATGTCTAAGTCTCTTTCACACACAAAGTGATGTTTTAATCTCTTACACTCAGATTGATGTCTAGATCTCTTACACTCAGAATGATGTCTAAATCTCTTACACTCAGATTAATGTCTTTATGTCTTACTATCAGAATGATGGCTTAATCTCTCGCATCCAGAATGGTGTCAAAACCTTAACACACAAAGTGTATACACTCAGATTTATGTGTTGCCAATACTGTTTAGAAATTTAAATGTGTGAATGATTTAGATTAGTTGTACACATTTTTGCGTAATCTGCAGATAAGTCTGAAAATTCGTGTACAGCTTTTTCCGGAGTATTTTGATAAAAGTATCCACTAGTTCTGATATAAAAGGACATGAACTATAAAATAATCAATGATCTTGATTAGACCAATATATAATATAATATTAGTATAACCTATGATTACAACATGATTACTCCATACACTGATTATTTTATCAGGACCTATTAGTCTTTCATCCGCTTTAATCAGATATATGTACTATATAGATCTTAAACTATGTAGAAAATTACGAAATAAAAGCCTTGAGGGTATTAACGGAACTCTCGCCTTCATGCAATCATTCTTATAATCAATGAACAACATTTAAAAGCCAGTAATTGTCAACCAAAAAAAGAACAATGTATAATTTTGAAGTAACCTCTGATTATATTGAGATAAGGGTTGTTTTTAAAGTCATCTTGATCTTGTTTTGACATGAATATTCTCCTACGACTTAATTCTGGTTTAAGAAAAATATGATATATTAGAAACTAGAGCATAATCCTGTTGAGAATTGAAACTTCTATGAATCTTGTAGAGTTGATAAGATATAAGTTCAAGTCTTGTGGGGTTACATTTCAGTGTTTGATTGCCCAAGGTGGTGATAGGTGAATACCGAGAGCCAAAGAGTAGGAATAATATGCCAGGTTAGGCTGTACAAATTGTTATTTATCATGATTAAGAACGGCATCAATGACAATCAAATAACACTGTTTTGTCACGAAGTATCTCAAATTTATAATAGACAATAAAATTTATATAAAAAAAGTAATTTACCGTTCACTCGTTTAGATACAACTGACTATGAGGAGATGAAGTTATCTGAGGTTCTTTGCCCAATGCTGACAAAAAGACTTGTTTTCTGATCATATTACTTAACAGGATATTGCTGAATCAATCTGTAATTTTCCTATTTAATGGGGAAAGAACTAAAGGAATTGACATAATCTGTTGTAATGTAACTTGTTTTCATTTGTGTAAATTGAAATTATTTTGTAACAATGGTCTTAAAGATTTTTTAGATGGTACCAAATATTAAAAACTTCAATTATTTTAATGTATCATTTAACATGTTTCAATGTTTAAACGTGGAAAAGAGCACGATTCCAATCCTACAGAACATACTGACGTTGGCTACCGTTTTGAAATATTATAACAAAAACTATTTTTAATCATGACGTCCAAAGCAAAATCAGAATGATGCAAGAAGAAGAGATAAACACACAAAGGTCTTTTTTAAAGCTTTATAATGACAGTAACGTCAAAGTAAGCAAAGTATAAATCATTAATTAATCTATTTTGCATATACTTAGTGAGGAGTAGGGTGGGTGGTAGGAATACAAAATATCCTGGTTCCATTATTGACCGGTATTGTTTGAAATTTTGACAAACAAGACAAGTCTTTTTAAAACGTATCAGCGAGACATTCATTGAGAATGATATTTTGAGAAGTAAGAGGAATTGTGATTTCGTGTTGGCAATCCATGGCAATCCATGGCATGATCATTGATGTATCATTAGTGAAAAAAAATGAAGGAAATTAAAAAAAAAAGTAGAATTTATTTCTAGTAATTTAATATCGTGACATATAGTGTACTTGCATTTTTGTCAATCACTCTTAGATAAAATCAAATGCGTTTAATATAAAAAGGTAACAGTATTTTTAATGCTAATGCTATTTCCATAATTTTTTTATTCCTAAAATACTCATGGATTTCAAACATATTTATTTTTGAATTTTTATATTAGCTACTAAAAATTAGTTAGGTGGTTAAACAGTCTTAGTTGACTAGTGTGTCAACGTACAACGTGCGACAACCACGAAGCACATAGCTGGAATTTCAATCTGCATTATCAATTACATATTTTGCAGAGAACAATATTTCTGAGAGCGAACGTCACATTCTTATTAAATCCATATACGAGTCAAAAACGACCATACTCTGACAATGGCAATAAAACTTAAAAAGTCACTTAAAATTTTTCAATACATAACATATGAATACCAAATTCCACCCAAATAGCTTCTGTATCGTTTGCAAATTTCATGTGGTATCACGTGCCTAGGGCGTGGAGCACAGACTAAAACTGTAGCCTCTATCATCCGCACATAACACTGTGGACGACAGCGTATTATAGATACGTTTGTAACTACTTTGAATTATAATGATTAACTATCTATTTTCCCGAACGATCGGAAATTCTAACATCCTATTAAATTTATCGCTGACGTGATCCATTGGAAATCGAAATTCGTACATCTGTATGTATTTGTTCGGTTGAAATATTTAACGCAAATTAAAAGATGTTTGAATCAAGTGCTTTCGACTAATGTGCATCATAGATGAGCACATGTAACCCATAGTGTATAGCGTATTAATTACGGTTGTACTGGCGGGAAGAAATACGGTCTCCTTATACCCTGTTGCGACACGCCTGAGTTTGATTATGAAAAGTCTAGCAAGCGTCAAGGTGAAATTCAGGAAGTTCGCCAAAAGACCTTGCATACAGTTAACCTTGAAAGACATGTCGCAACTTTTTACATGTTTTTTTAACGATTTATAAACAACTGCAATGATAAAGATTCAAAAACACTAAAAAGGTTTTTTCAATAATTTAAGAATGTAAATACATGTATGTTTGACATTTATCAACAGCGAAAAATTTAAGTATTAGCATTAACAAGATTAATGGCAATAATATTGATAGTACCGATATCAATTTAAGGTCATATAGATAGAACAATGATCATTGCTTCATCTTTTGAAAATGCGTGCAGTACAACCCATTGTAAGATTTAGATCTCTAGATTGCAGAAAACGAATTTATACTCCAAAGTATCCACCACGGCGCTTTACAACTATTGTATTGTATAGAGAATATGATTCCATTGTTGAGCGATTAATTATATCAGCTTCATCTTTGCTTCATCTTTTTCTTTTTCTTTGATAAAAACGATCATCCAGAATTTTTTCCAACAAAATCTATAAAAATCAATGAAATATCGACGCGTTGTTTTCTTATTCGTGTATAGTTAGTATCAATTTAAGGAAGAAGTATTATTGATATCTTATTAAGGAATCGATCAAATTAATCTTAAATAGCCTTGTTTATTTGCCCACATAAACACTCTTTTGGGGAAACCTCTCCGATAATACATCGATTTTTTTAATCCCACGCATGAAATGATCTCTGTGTATGGTCACAATAAATAAATAACCCGTGTAGTTGGCATTGAATTACTTTGAGACCATCCTTTTCTTTACAGATTCAATGTGGAATCTAGAGAAAACAAACTGGCGGTGAAACGCAGAAAAGCTCGAGAAAAGTGACTGAGTGAAGTAGACAGTGATAGGAAGGATAGGTACAGTAGTGTGAGGGTTACTATTCGGAATGGAAAGATATTGTGGACTGGTTAAAACTATTTTTCTTGTCATTTTTCTATATTTTATTAGTGTCAGCTGTGTCGATTCATTCGTTTGGTACGGTGACCATCGTCATTTGTTTAATCAGTTCAAACACGAAGCACAACATACGTTACCGCAACCGGAGCATACTGATCCAACTCCGTTCCCGTTTACATTCTGGAGAAAGAGGAAGAGAACATCACTTCAAACTCAGATTTTTTCTAATACGAAACCTAAATTACGGAAATTGTTTATTAAGGATGCTCGATTAACGAAACTTTCTAAAATTGAAAAATTATTGAAAAGCAAAGTGAAGTCACAATCAAGCAAAATTGATGAAGGTTCTCCTTCTGTGCCTTACTTTAAAAAATATTCCAAATCAAAACATACTGCAACAAAACTATTACACCAAAATTACCACAAAACAAATATTCCTCATTTAGCTAGTGGACTGCTAATAGATGGGACATTTTATGAAATAAATAGTCAAATTGGCGACTCACCGAAAGTGGCAGTTTTCTCTAATCTCTTGAAAACTTCCGATTCAGACGACGAGCAACGTGTGATAGAAGATTTTGAATTTCCAAATTTGAAATCTTCACAAAGTGCCGCACTTAAAAACACTAAGCAAGTAAAAGCTTCAGACATGTCGGACGATGTTAAGTGGTATGCTCCCGAAAAGTTAGATGCAGCGATACAAGCAGATAAAGGAAATCATCAACTATTTGCAGACGGATCAAGGACTTTAAATTCGTATGTTCCGTCAGTCGAATCTGATTCAAACACTGGTCAGCTTGGTCCTGAAAATACTAGGAGTGCTTCTCACGATGTTGCCTTTGGTGGTTTCGACTCATTTCTTCAAGACCAGAGTTCCCAGAGCTTTTCAGATTCCACGTTTGATGATCTAGGACCTAGTGGTAATACGGGTTTCATTGGCGGTGGTTTTGACATGGATGGGGTAAGTTTGTTTTATACTTTGTGTCCAAAACTAGTACTAAAATCTAAATGGGGGCCACGATAGGAAACATAATTAGAAATTCAATGATTAGATAGCCATAGTTTCAATTGAGGTAAATTTCAAAAAGTTAAAATATGGTAATAATAAAGAACATTAAACCGGGTGCTCTATTCTAAAAATCATTCGTTTGTTCATGTACGTGTGATAACACATAGAAATAGATTATATCTAAATCCACAACTACTATTAGGCTTTACCATGCATTTACAACTTACTTTCAAATTTCACATAGGAGAGAATTTGACTTTCCTGTAAGAGCCGGGATGTTATTAAAGGACTTATTTTATCGTCAGTTAGGTGGACATCTCTAACCTTTCCGCCGCGATGGCAAATTGAATCCCAGGAACTCACAATTAGATTAGCATTTTTGCAACCATGCTTTATAGAACTTTAGAAAGAAAAAGAGCAGTCTAGCAGTGTCAGTGATTCGTATTCTTATATTTCTATAGGCCTACTATTATCCTGTTAAGGAATGCCTCCTTGAAACGTCCTAGTGCATCCTGAAACAAGGAGGTATAACAAATCTAGACAATTGAATATACTTTATCAATTATACCTATCAAATAATTTTAAATTGTGACCAGATTCTGAAACGTGCCGATTAAAACTAATGAGACTGCTAAAATCAATTGATTATTACTTTAATCTTTAATCTTTCTCTTTATGTACATTGGGACCAATATAAATGTTTGAACAATGCTTGTTCACGTCTCTTAATCAACGGGCATTAAAATATTATGTTTCAACATAGAACTGTAATATTTTATAGTTCTATGGTTCCAACGCTGAATCGACAATTTTCTAAAGGAATCGAAAGAAAATTTAACACCTCTAAGGCAGACGAAGCTAATAAAATTAAATTCATTTTAAGAAGTAAAATGTTTTACGGAAGTGTATCAAGGAGTTGATAAGATTCAGTTTGATTTATCAGATTGAAATATATTTTGAATCATTTTGTTCTAAGCTCTGTCCACACGAGAAGTGGACCAAACAATAAATAAATTAATAGCAAAAAAAGTCAGGATGAATAAAACTGACTCGTGTGGACGCATCTCATCTCAAGTTTCTACTTGTCATAGAAAAATCTATATTTTCGCCTTATTGTAAAGTTCAGCGACACGAATAGCATAGTTGATTAATTAATAACCTGAAACTTTCAAAATGAAATTGAATTAACCATGAAATTGATGCATAAAATAATGAATGTCACAGAAGGTTAGAAGAGTTCATAAAATACTAAAGTGTCCAACGTATTTATGTATTTAGCATCATTGATCTTAGTGAAGAACATGAGTGATTTTATATGTTTGTATTAATCTGACAGTTGATGAAGAGAACAGTGAATCTAGCTAGACGAATTTAACCTGTTAGAAAGGGGCTCGTGAACATGACATACAATCTATTGTTATAAATGCGGATCTGAATGGGATGATTAAAAAATTATCGCAGAAATGAATCCCTCATTTCATATAATTAACACATGAATGAAATCAATCACCGAATACTGTATTAGTGAACACGGGATGTTACTCCCTAAGAGCGGCAGATTATGCTTAGAACATTGCTAACAGTCGGTGTACAAAATGATCTACTCGAAAATCGATCATTTTTGTCGGATAATGTCCATAAGAAACAAAAATTAAATCAATCAATCGGCATGATAGCCGGTCAACTACTAAAAAGGTGCAAAAAATCTCTCGATCGTCATGAAAATCCAGAGGCATCATTTTTGCATGTTGCAACCAAAAACAGACAAGAATCCGTAGAAAATTGTAGACAGTTGAGCACAAGGTTAATGTTGACAAACACACTACAGCCTGACAAGAATATACCATTGTCATGTTTTTCTCCAATAAATCCTTGTTGTTCTTGCACAGTCTCACAATAATCATCAAGTCTCATCTTATTTTACGCGTGTTATTTCAAACACTATTTTCATGTGTAGAATTATGCGTAAAATTATAAAAGTTGTTATTGTATTCTAGTCAGGGTAGGGTAGAATGGAATTAGAGCAGGATACACTTTATCTATCCTATGTTTTACTAACAACAACCGCTCCCAATTTACCCAGAACTAAGCTTATTAGTACTCATGTGTACTAAACGACCCACAGTGTGAAATTTTAGGTACACGATAATGTCTACTTCTGGTGGTGAAGGATTGGGTCCAATGGTTTAACCAAGCGCTACTGTACATACATTCGTGTCTGCAAATATATCTAAACTAAATAAGGTGATATTAGTAACATGAGTCACTTTTCACGACAGGCATAATCCCGCGAATATGGCCGTACGAGTTCCTAGAACATGATATATTACGGGTTATTAGGGAAATTGCTCCTATCCATTTTACGATCCTAAGTTTGAGTATTCACCATGACAAAAACCAAATATGACACAAATTTTCGCTTCTTTACAAACTGAACCATCGATGAGTCCATCAAAACACCACTATACAGTCGAGGGTAGGCATTTCCATTCTTCTCATTCGACTGTATCATGGTACTATGAGCAGTAGAGTATCCGGCAATGCCTTTGGACTCATTAATGGTTCAGCTTTGTGGATACCAAACTGTGGCTTTTGTTATTGTGAATATTCTAAAACACCAGCGATCCAAAAATAACTCGGAGTAAATCCCATTAAAAGTGGCATTTTATATCTGGCCCTAAACGATTTGTTGGGCTAGAAGGAGGTCCTCCCTAGGATCCAATAACACGTTCATGTGTTTCTAGTTTAGAGATTTCTCATTTGATTCGACCATAAGTTTCATATTAGGGTTTATAGTACTTAAAGTGCAAAGGAAGCTTTTAAGCCTGTACAGTAATAGTTTATAAGCGATTCTTTATGGCTGTATTTAACACATAAATCATTGCTGAGCTCACTCCACAGACCAAGGCTTTATTGGATTGTTTTCATTTTTGTTAACAAAAGCTTGTAGTGCCAAATCATCAGTTTCTGATGGTTGAACTACTACCAAAATACCTGATTTGACAAACTAGTCATATTCTATAAATGCTCTCAATTTACACGTAGGCTTGGAAATTTGTAGCAATTTCATTGTCGACTCGCCTTTAAAGATTCCTATGTAGAACGGTAAAGGACTGGATAATCAAACGCCAACACGACAAACACTTTAGAAGACATCCCATTTTTCAGGCAGGGGACAAACTACTGTAAGGAAATTAATAGTGATTATACAATTTGAAATTAGTGAAAGTTTCGGGTGTGTAGTTTCATCGTAAATCTTCTATAATGTGCTCTTTCCATTTCCATAGTGGCAGCTTTTCGGTGTTCTTTTCCAAAGGGCATCTGTATCTTTTCAAAAAAGGAATCATCAATATCCCCTCTTAAAATAACATCGTCCTTTCAAAATTGATAATTATATTAACGATTGCATCAAGCTTTCATAGAATAGGAAGAGCATTTCTTTGTATATGTCGAATAAATCCGTTTCTATCAATGTCCATTGAAAACGATACAAATATTGTTTTAACCGCATGACTATGTTTTGGGTCAATTTTTAGGATGCTTGTTCACCTGCATGCTCCTTTAGCAACGGTAGGTATTACCCATATAGATATGGATGATATTTACCGTTGCTAAGGGAACATGGCTAACCTGGGGTATTTCAAGTCGACTTCGGGTGGCCTTGTAAGAATTTTTCGTTGCTTAATTTTGAGTATTATATGTTTATTGTACATTTCAGTCCCATTGTTATGATATAGATACAAGAACGTGTTCAACAGATCGCGATTGTAGTTGTTATGGATTTTATCACTGTTCGATAAATAAGTGCCATTTGTTGGATAATTTGGATGTAGAATCGGGTAAGAACTTAACATAAATATTTCTTAAAAGACATGTTTTTATTTTGATGTATGTATATATCTATCAACAACGTTGAGTTGATTCTGGCGTTGTCTAGTTTCACATAGGCATGACATTGATTATGTAAACTTTAGAGATTATTATCATGTTTTTAATTTGGAGACCAGAATTTGTTTCTAATGCAATTACTTATTATTTTCATCACCCTTTGAAAACAAACTCAGAGTCAAAGACAAATACTAATAGGTAGAAGATATACCCGAGGCGAATGTGGGTAAAGTAATGGACTATAATTGTCTGTGATTGAAAGATGATATTAAGATAATAATTTAGAAATCCCTTGTAATCCGGTATATCATTTATATTTCTTTGATACAAAATTAACCCTTTAATGAGTCTGTAACTTACTTACTATGTATTAATGGACATTAGTCAGTCAGCATAACTTGTGTTTCAAACTAGTTTATTTCCGACTTATTCAACCAATGAAATCGTAAAGTTACAATACAAAGGAGTCTCTTAATTTCATTTATTTATTTATATATACATGTATGAAAATATGAAATTGAAACATGTTGGCAGTAAAAATTAACTATCTTTATCGTTATTGATCTCATTTAACTACATGTATATATATATATATATATTCCATTTTTTGACGGCTGATACTTATATAAATCAAAAGAAGAGGTGCTCTAATTGGGAAAAATACCAGTTTAACTCAGAAGTCAATAATTAACTCGTAATTACGAAGGGATTCCAATGATCAAGCGGTCTCACAATTTCCATAATGGAGGTACCGGTAACTCTATAAGTGCCTTTTCACAGCCGAACATTACCAAAACAGGCAAATACCAACCGAAAAATTTAAAACTTCAATGGTTATGTTTCCAAATTCGGGAACTATTTTCTACAAATATGTCTTTTAAACATGGTTTAGCTAAAAAGAAATATATATAAAATGTGGTTAGATTATCACGATCTATTTTAGTCAGTGAATAAACAAGGAATCTATTATCACGATCTATTTTAGTCAGTGAATAAACAAGGAATCTATTATCACGATCTATTTTAGTCAGTGAATAAACAAGGAATCTATTATCACGATCTATTTTAGTCAGTGAATAAACAAGGAATCTATTTTTAGCTTTTTCAATCGGAGTCGTTTTTGTCACCCGATTCGATTAGGTTTCGATTTGCTCTGCTCGTACCATTAGGTACGATTTGCAGTGGCCCACAAATGTGATAACAGCGATTAGGCAATATAGCTGACTGCACTGTCAACAAAAGAAGGTTGTCTATTAATATTAGCCAATGACATCTATATTTATATAGACAACATTATGATCAAATTAGCCAATAGTATAAATTACCAATGACATCACACCAAATCGAACCGCCTAACCACCTACTGAGACGGTTAGGTCGATCAGCCTAATCAGTTTAGGTAAACTGTCTCACAAATGCACCGATTAGCCTAAACGTCCTGGCTCACAAATGCACAAAATAGCTCTACCTAATCGAATCGTGAGACAAAAACGACTCGGGTTTCAGTAAATTTGATCCCCAAAAATTTTTATATCCTCACACAATATTAGCACTTTTGATTTATTCATTAGAAACCTCAATTAATCAATCAAAAAGCATGATTTGACCCATGTTCCTTAAGCAACGTTACATGATAATGACCATGTAACCATTGCGCTCACAATCAATTGATTTTGATTGGTAGAGAGTTTACTTCTGTAGGCCTCTAAATAAGATTCCTTCAAATAAATTATTTTGGGAAAATGTTTGAATAACCAGACACAAAATTTTAGTAACAAATTTGCTTTCTGAAAATTGAGACTCAATGTTCACGGTTGAGTGTTTTGACATGTAGTGTCAATTTTAGAACAGCTATTATATGGTTTTCAGAAGAAGAATGAAAATAATATCTTCTATGATCTTTACAACAGAATATTCATATTTGAAATGGCATGCGAATCAATGATTCGGCAAAGCGAGTACGAGTACTCGAATGAATTATGTCCCCTTCAATTTCGCCTTTACCGGAAAAATCCCACCTGAAAACTTGAAAAATTGCTTTAGATGGACGGAAGTGTTAGAATGCTCTGAATTTTGTTGTGAATATTAAGTTTGTCAAGTTTCACATCGATTGATTATCCAAGAAGGTGGTCATTAGAGGCCGCCATTTGCAAACACCTTCCTTTTACACCAAATGTTACGAGATTCCTGATTGGATATACTTAATAGGACGTATGGTTTGCAAAGGGATGTTATTCCTCTAATGGCCCTATGGGATTTTACATGGACATTAGGGTCGTATATATAGAATTATATATCGTATATCGTACGAGACTTATAGTTTGATACATACTTTGACAGTCAAGTGACATTCTGACTTATTAATTCTTGACGGGAATCGCAGTCTATCATCCGGTATTTGTATGTTTGTCACTTGTAAAACATCATGATTATACCCTTTTTCAAAATAGAAGGTGTTTTGTAACAATGAAATTAATTGCATGGCGAAGGGTGATAAAAAAAATGTTGGAGGCACTGTGTCATCATGTACATGATAAATTTGATACTTGAAGTTAACATTTAAACCTACTCGTTGTACAAGATCCCATCTATTTTCATACGTAATATCCTAACTCAATGCAATGCCACATTTTGTTACGTTATTAGTGAGTCCCAACCGTAAATAAAAACAAATGTAACTGGTGCATATAATAACAATTGACAACAGTGACTCAACGCATATTGAAAACCGAAACATAATTATGTCTCTATTCCAGCCTCTGATAACTACTTGGACAGATGTCGGCTAGTGCCCTGTTAAATGGGAACATTCCGCATCTCCGCAGGCAAAACCAAGATATATTTTGACATGATTATTTTTGTAGTGCTGTCATACCACCAGTTTCTCCCTAGACCATCTATATCCATCAAAGTTTGACAAAGACTGATCGGCTAGTTAAAACAGCGTTCGCAAATCCCCATTATTTTAACAGTGCCGTTTTCTTCTGACAACTGTTAAAATATCCACCAGAGGCTGGAGTAGATGCAGATGATTCGGACTTATTGAAAAGATCAAATAAGCTTTTTTTAAAAGAAATTACCATAGTGCAATCATGTACGACCAATGATGGGGAAGGCCTGTATACTTCCAGATGATTGAAAACTGAAGTGTTGGCTGACTTCTAATTTATTGACAAATTTGGTGACAAGAAAGATTTAATGAACTCAATAACACCAAATGCCATGCATGCTCTGATTTGGTTGAGATTTACAATCAATACACGTGGATGATAATTGTATCAGAGTCTGAATATACACCTACATCTTTATGTGTTTATTGTCGTCACCCATGTCCGGCGATCAACAATATATCATAAAAAAGGTACAATTCTACGCTGATTTTGACGATACTTGAAGTAACTGTTTATTGTTTGTTATTAATAAAAATACATACTAGCAAGACAATTCAATCAAAAATCTCGTCCAAAGGATGGCAAAATCGGAAGTAAAAGTTCATCAGAGAAGTATCATCAGTTGTGTTTGACTGATAGTTTCCCTTCTTAAAATTCAAACAAGGACTTGTTAGTTATCTTTATGTCACGTTTGTCATAAAATTAACATAGATATTGTGACGAAGCTTGATCTCACTTTTCCAGACAGTTATTAACAAAAAGATAAATTTTGGAAATCTGCATCAATTTCAATTGTGATGGTAACAAGCTACCAAGCTCACAACAAACAACCGACATAATTTTGTTTTCAAAAAGAACCCCAACACAATCAGTAAAATTTTGTCATATACTTTTTATACACCCACATGAAATGGGGGGCGTATATTGCCGTCACCCATATCCGTCCGTCGGTCGGTCGGACTCCGTCCGTCCACAATTCTTGACTGATTTCGACGAAACTTGGTATGGTTGTTTGTAATCACCCAATGATGAAGCCCTTGTTCTTTAAACGCTCGTAAACACTCTAGAAGGTGCAATTCATGACGGATTTTGATGAAACTTGGCATGAGTGTTCGTAATCGTCCAAGGATAAACCATATTGAAAATCAGAAAAATTGAAAAATATTTAGTATGAGTATTTGCCCTTGTTCTTGAAAACGCGTTCAATTTTTAGTTTGTAAACACTCTAGAAGGCACAATTCTTGACGGATTTTGACGAAACTTGGTTTTATTATTCATTATTGCGCTGAATATTTGTCTTCTAGAGTTTTCACGAGCTAAAGATTGAACACGTTTTCAAGGACTAGGGGAATAACTCATACTCGATATTAATCAGTAACGCCCTAAAGAGTTCAAAAGAAGTGTATGACTGAAGGTTGAATATTTCATACTGGTGATTGTTACTGTACTGCTAAATATTTAGGTTCAAAATCAAAGCTGCCAGTGGGCGTATATAACCTTGCCTGACAAGCTATCTTTAAAATATACATCGTTCTGAAATATATGTCTTCTATTATAGATTCGGACTCGACACCAATAGGAACATGGTATGATGAACCAAGAGCATTCAAGTAAAGAGATGGAAATTGAATTATCCTTAAGATTATGGTTGTAGAGAATTACGTTGTCCACTGTAGGAGACAGCTAATGAAAGAACGTTAATGTGCATGTACATCCATATACTTAGTGTGACAGCTTGGGCATCAAGAGACGATTGATGCGGCGGATTAATTTTTTGTCGTGATGGTTGTGTTGAATGGTTGCTGGTGATGAACCTACTTAATGCCACCAGTGAACAATAATTACAAGTTGGCTCTGGTGTGATTTTTGGAAAACGTAATGAGGACATAAAGCATTAACATTGAAAAATGTATTATAAATATATATAATAGATATTTTATTGTTATTTAATTTATTTTTGTTGATATATACCATAATAATCCGGGTGACCTAGACCATAATTTATTTATGTCAAAAATATAAAATACTAAAAAATACGATACGATGTAGATGTCATATGTCATAAATATTTATAACGACCTGACATATTCGGCTAAATTTTATTTTTTTCGATTAGTATCACGTGAACCTTTATTGTATCATCCATTTATGGTTAACTTAATATCGAAGTATCTGTCAGAATTATAGAACACAATTGTTGAAATGTCATTGAACGTAAGTAAAGAAATAAAGAATAGCATTTCCTGTAAACGCTATGTCATGACCAGCATATGGATCAAAACAACATTTTCTATAAATAAATACGTATCAAAATTGAATTTAGGACTAGACCAATATCTCTTCAAAGCGATCAAAGACATAAGCAGTATGTTCGACCATTTATCCACCATTGCCTGAATTTTATTGATATTTTATTTTTGAATCTTTGAGATTATTATGTGTTTCGATTTTTTGCAAATAATGTAAGGATAAATATGACTGTTTTGAATTATTTTGTGATATTGTATCCTGTTTAATATTGTATTCAAATATATATTTTGAATTGCAACAACACAGTGTATGTCTTACACTAAATTATTGCCACTAGTATATTGCCGATTTTGTTTTTTAGTGAAAAGTTATATTAAACTTGCTCTACTGGCATAAATAAGTTGACTGAATGATTCTGCACACTGTGCACATTTGGTGTGGTGAGATCAAAGCTTGTTATAGATATGTACTATGAACTACTTTACCGCTCCACTTTGGGTTCACGTCGAAGCGGAACGTCATGCAGTGTAAATGAGGAAAATGTCAGAACATTAGCACACTCGGTGTGTTTTTTAGGAAACATCAGATGGGGGTGGCGAGGGGGGGGGGGGGGGGACAAAGCCGGGCCAGACTCTTTTTGGGGGGTAGGAGGGGCGATCATGGACCTCCCTTGTCTGTACGGAGAGACGCAAATGAGCACACGGTTACTCCACCGATAAGTGAACTGTCAATAGTTCTTTAACGTGCATACATGTATTCACGGAGGCTCGGTAAATTGCCCCATTCCTACGACTAAATGACTTTTCCATGTTATTATCTACTGACCATATATCTCGAATATATAAAAAAATATGTCACCATATGACTATTTCCTCTAGGGGCAAAACATAATCAATATTGTCTATAGTTTACAAAACTATATTTTTTCTGCCACATAAGGCCATTTTTAAATCGGTTGTGATTATTAATGTCTGACGTTACTCTAAATCAATTTAAATTGATGCTAACACTTAGCCGTGCCAGCCTTCTGTTCAGGGTGTAACTTTCTCATAGCTAATGATCTGAGAGCTGAAAAAAAGAAAAGGTAATGATTAAGTCGTCAAACTACACAAAAATCATTTCCAGACTGATTTTACATTTCACTTGTTTTAAATCACAGTGCTTTCTTGACACATTATGAACCTTTTGCGCTGTCTTTTGTAGCGGATGAATGTTATTAAGCTACAAATAATCTAAAGAAATTCAAAAATTATATGAGCGGTTCCAAAAATTAGAGAAGTGAAAATTATTTATACATTTTCCTTTTAAGTCTCAACTTCTCTTTGGGTAAGAAAAGTCAAAAAATATTTATTGAGAGCAATATCTGTTCTGATCGACTGATGCAATGTTTAGTTGTGATAATTACGATGTCATTCTAACAAAATATAGCCTCACCACTTCTCGGAATATTGCTACTGGAATTACATAGTTCAGAGAAAATAATATAACATACCAGCTACTGCGCCTTGGAAAGCAGCATTATAATCTGTAGCTACCTCATTATTTACATAATTCCCCCTCTCATCTTTATATTGATCACCAGATCCTGGACCTCCAACAAGAGCACCATAAAGAGTGTGCACACTTGCTTGTGGTCTGTGAACTACATTAGGTGAGCATGGAGCTGGTGGCCATGGACAAGATCTGAAGAGTTAGTTTTTTGAAATATTAATGAAATACTTTCAAAACACGAGAGCTCTGAAAGACAATTGTAGACATTCAAACGAATATTAATCATCATACACTTTAAATATAAATAGGTAGTATCAGGTAATTTCATAAGTGATAGGTAGATAACATTGCATGATAACAAAAAATCTGTATAGCCGAGAAAAAGCATGTCAGTCAGATGCAAACAGGATCTTTTGATCTATTTAAGGACCAAGTGGTGTTGCTTGTAGGGGATACATGCCAATTTATTTTTATTTAACCGCTCAAATGATAAGAAATTATCTAACTTACGCTGATCTATGATGCGGTCTCAAAGGATATTTATCACCAAAACCTATAACATAACTTAATCCAGTATCACCTAATGCATAATGTATCTGAGACATGGCCCATTTCCTATATTTCTCAGGGTTGATACCATTTTCAGCCGCAATCAAAGCAACCATTGCCATATTAGCTATAATATAAGAATTGAATTATTGACTAATTACGAATTTTTTTCTTTGGAAATCATTGAATCACCAAAAGACTAAATGATATTTTGCTATCAAATCTTGATGATCACTTTGCCAGAATCAAATTCATGTACCCACAAAATACAGATATTTGGAAGTTATGCCTCATCAGGTTATGTGTCACAATACATGTACATGTACGTTTAAAACAAATCTTTTTCATCAGTTATTAAAAGACAAATTCTTACATGAATAACGTAGAGAGCCCCATTCTAATCTCCAAGCTAAGCCTTTGGGTGTATATTTAATAGTTCCACCAGGCATCCAATAGTTAAATGTATCAATAACTGCTTGTCTGTAAATGTCTTTCTTTGTATATTTATATAGCAGCACCTGTATAAGAAATGATTACAGTTGCTATGAACACTATGCCCACCATTTTAACAGATGTGAGAAAAGTTGTTTTAGTTAAGTTGTGCTAGAGTTTTCCATGAGTCTATGGGGGTATAATATTTTCATAGAGAATGATTTCAAATGAGTTTCAGAAAGATTAGTAATTACCGACCTGATTAATCGCTTGAGTGTCATCCCATGACATTCCCCAAGAAGGACCAGGTTGGAACCATTTTTCAGCTTCAGTCAGATACTTAGTCTCATTAGTGATAGCATACATCCAGAGTGACGACCAACAAAGTTCATCTGTCATGTTTCCAGATCTAGTTGGAAATATCAATCACAATTCATCAGAAGGGGTAAGTGGGTCACAAATGACTGTCTGCTTAATCACAACAAATAATCCTGTGGGTTTAGATGTTTCAAATCGACAGAAATACAGCCAGAATCAAGCTCGGGAAGAAAACGAAGAAAAATACACGGTAAAAAATATATAGCATACCTGTAATAGCCGGAAGCAGCGGAAATGGTATCGGTATATCGCCCTTGATGTTTCATTCCAAAATCATACAGGTCCATAGCATGTTGTTTTAATTGAGCCGCATATTTAGGGTCTGAAAATATAAAATAAAAAAATATGAAAAATGAAATAGCAACAGTAAGTTTGAGATAAGTTTAATCGACACCACCTGTGATGGAAAATATTTAAAAACAATTACAAATATATTACGAGAACTCTATTTGCCCGCCAGACAAAAAGAAGAATTATACTTGGGTCTTGGTACAAAGTTATATCAAGGAACCTGTGCTATTGTTTTTGGACAATTGGCAATAATCTATTTACCTCTTTCTTTAAAAGCAAGATAACCAGCAGCAAAGGCAGCGCAGGTTTCTCCAGCTACGTCGCTTCCAGGATGACTAGCATCAATCTTATAAGAAGGTCTCCTCATTTTCATCTCCTCGGGCCTGCCCCAGAACCCATGATCTGCACCACCATCTCCCACCTACACATGTAACTTTACATTGTAAAGAAGAGTTGCAAATAAGTGATCCAACATGTCGCAAATTAACAATTTGATTCTTTCTTCCACTGGTTCGAGGACAAATCATAAAAGTCCCACAGAAATGTTCTTCATTCCCACCATAATGAATACTGTATGCAGAAATAGAGATTTATTTAGCATATTTATGAAACTCAAACCCTTTAATTACACCAGACACTTTCAACAAGATTCTTATTAAATTATGGCGTGGAACATGATTCCGGTGCTCATAGTGCCAGACGACGAAATGACATATTTGTTTGTATATTTGATAATGTTTTTTCGCCCTGAATCTAAATTAACTCGATCAAATAGTTTAAATGATAACCTAGTTTTACGCGTCTTATACTTTGGCAATAATTGTAATTTTTAGATAAAAATATTACCTGAACATAAAGCTCATATTTACTGACATGAGCCTTCAGAAAATAATCTAATGGCCATTTAATACAGTCATACATATGATCTTCTTGTTTACTAGCTTTATAAGCATCACCCCACTGTAGTAATCCCAATGCCAATATGGCAGTGGAATAGGCCATAGGAAATCCAAACTTAACATGGTCACCAGCTGAAAATTACAAAGTTTAATCTTATTCCGGAAGATTCACACACACAATAAACATAATTACGTTTGTAAAAGAGAAATTAACCCACCGTCATACCATCCACCAGTTAAATCCACACCAACATCACTACCGTCCTTTAAGCCTGAATCACCACGCCATGGGATCCTATTATTGGCTGGCAGTTTTCCCGAACGCTGAGCTTCATAGAACAATATTGACTTCCTCAACACATCATCATAGTTATATTTTGTACAGTCCTGTGCAGCTTCAATAGAAAATAATTAATAATAATCAGGTAAGATCTGTTAGAAAACATATTGAAGGGAGGTAACCAACTACTTCAAAGTCTTTTTGTATTCAAAGAAACCGAATTCTAATGCCAATGTAGACTGTGATATTTTAATGTTTGATCCCTTGTTTATGTTTCTTGTCCCATTCTGACTCCTTAATCGTGCATCCTATTCAGGCATACCAGAATTAAATTGACAAAATTAATTCGTTCAGGAAAGTCTTTGTTCATTTCTGGTGTTTGGGGACCTGTTTCGGGTAAATAGAAGAAGGACAATAATAATTGCACTTTTAAGCCAGCAGCACATAATGTACGAGTCGACAATTTACTGATGATATAATAGGTTTTGGTTTTAGTGTAAAATGTGCGTCATTTTCATGAGCAAATTACATGTGGGAATTCTAAAGCTTAAGACACTCAAAGACAAAATCTAGCTTTTACATTTTATGTTATATCTTTTCAGAAACCACAGTGGTGGAGAGTTCACATAATATAATGGTTACTAATCTGGTATGATAGTCTCAAAATTTCTTACGATCTTTTACTAATGGTAACTTTTGATGATCTATTTTTCCCATATCCTTTAAAACAGCAGTAGCAGTTGGCGCTTCATTTACACCAACATAATCTGCAAAGAACCTCATTTTCAACGTCTGTCCCTTATTCCATAAGCCTTTATCTAATTTATTAACAACAGTCCATATTGTACCATCATCACTATACCCTACAACATCACCGAAAGCTACCTACAATATGATGAGGATAAGATGTACGTGCACAGTTCTGTTCAGACATTGTGAAGGAAACACTGTCACAACATACCCATTGTTAAGAGTTTAAGAGGTATTTCTGGTGTTTTACCAAAATCCTTTTCGCCCGGATTAGAATTACAATCATTGTTCTTGATATATTAGATAAAAATTGTGATTAAAATCTTAGTATATGCGTCGGGTGATTTACTGTTCAGAAACTCGAAAAGAGTTGATGGTCCAAGAAAGAAAACATTATTATAACATTACGATACTTTACCTCCATAGATTTAACCCTGGCACTGAAGGTAACGTTAACTTCCCAACCATTAAAAGGTCCATCAAACTGGAATTCACCTTCAACTCTATGTCTGTCTTTAAAATCATTAAATACTTGCATTGGACCATTTGCCTTTATAACGAAGCCCCCTGTTGGTGGTGTGACTGTAAATACAAATTACAAAGAGAGTGCCTTTGAGTATATGAAACCTATTTAAGAAATGAGATATTCTTTGCAAAATGGGCAATTACCTTGGTCAGGATTACCAGTAAATACAGCTTGTGTTGGGTATGATGGTGCTGAAAGGTAAAAAAAAAGTAGAATCATAAAGGGTAGGTGAAAAAAAAACAAGACGATATCCTTACATATTGTTGAGAAACGACTTCAAAAAAATAAATGGCCACTAGTATACTTAATAAATGTTTTTCGTTTATTTTTATTCTTTTAATGAAAAATAAGAGTGTTGATTGTATTTTGCAACATTTCATTCAAAGGGCAAAAATACAAAGATATTATAAAATGCTGTGTATAGGGTAAATTTACAACGATTCCAAATACACTGTTTTGCTATACTATTATTTTGTTCTTAAACACCTACTTGTTCCCGTATAATCTGGTCCGAACGTTGGTGGCTGTGTTACGACCATTCCTTCGATAGTGACAGTAGCTGTTGGTGTGATGTCGCCCTCACCATGTCCCAAGAACGCTACACAGATCTTATCACCAACATGTTCTACTCCATTCCAGGGTTTATTAGCCAATACAAACTCCTTACCACCTTGTTTAGTTTCCACTAGGTCGGCTACCCATACCTACATTCGGAAAGTTAATACGGATTACAAACTATTTGAAAGAGAATAGTTCAATACGATATCTTACGACAACCTTCTATACCAGATTTCATTGATCACCCGTTCTAAGACAAGCAGCGACCTACTCATAATGTACATAATTCCGAATATTATTTATGTGGAAGGTCGATAGATCTTCTATAGCCTACCTCTAGAGTACTTAAAGATACATCAAAAACCAAATGAGCTTTCCAAGCCTTTAGTTCTTGTGAAACAGGGATACAAAAGTCTCCTTTGAAACCACCACTCCAATGGTGACCAATAGTCACTTTGATTCCAGTATTGATAGTTGCTTTTGTACCAGTTGCTGGTGTAACTGTTACTGAAGATGGTGTTGTAGATTCTGTATTGCTCAAAGTCATGAGACTGAGGGCCCAAAGAAGAATTTTCATCTGAAAAGTGTATATGAATTACATTATAAGTAATGGTTATGCTTTTGATAGACTTGGCGTTTAAAGTGAACACTACTCCCCGACCTCTGTGTAGGATCGTGTATTTCTCTGCTGAAGTTAAAATTTTATTTCAAAGACTTTCTGTAAAATTAATGAAAATGGAAATACTTACCTTTGCTGCACCTTTTTTACTATCTAATGTTGATAAGAGTAGATCAGTCGACTGTTTTATTCTCAGTCTTATCAACTCATGACCCTGTACTCCTTCCATACATCATGTTCTTTACGAAGGTCGGTATGGTCTCTATGATGGGAAAGGCCATCATGGAGGTGAATGAGATTGATTCAACAAACAGAATTAAATTTATTAAATCTTATTAATGTTTAAATCATTTCTGATATAATTTCCGAGTCGTGCCGTACCCTTTCCTGTCCTAGCTTAAAGAAAATAAGCATGTAAGCACCTAGACCTGCTATCAAATAGAAATATATATAGAAATAGAATAAATACTTTAAAAAAAACCAGATGGAGGTCAGATAACGGAATGGATTCAAAAAGTTTGTGTCGGTCAGTCACGGACAGGATAATTTCAACGCTTACAGTTGAAAAAGTATCAGGTACTCAGATTTCAAATCGATTCATCCAGGTTTAAGAATTGAAATTATTTTCTCAGACTTAATTACTGAGACTATGATATAAAGCTATATGAATTACTTTCAGAAATCGTGTTATTATAATTATAATATGCTATAAAGGCCAATTTTCTTGTAAGTTATGATACTTTAATAATGTTTTGGAAATTATTCCAATTTTCTTGTCAAATTCAATCCATGCTAAGGAATAAAAGTGGAAAATTACACGCTGTTGAATATGTAACTGTCAGTTGTTATTAGACTGTTATTAGATCAGAAGCGATAAATAATATTTGCATCATCCACTTTGCGATTTAAAAACGATGACGATCGATTTGAATCTGACAATTAATATATTGGTCCGAAAATGTTAGAAGAGAAAAGTTTGATAAAAATATTATTTTCTTTCAATATGTAACTTAAATAAACTTGTTATTATGAAAAATCAAATTATTATTTCAAAAAATACTGATCATTCTGTATCGTCCATACTAGTCATTCTGTATCGTCCGTACTAGTCATTCTGAATCATACATAATGATCATTCTGTATCGCCCATACTAGTAATTCTGAATCGTACATAATGTTCATTCTGTATCGCCCATACTAGTCATCCTGTATCGCCCATACTAGTCATTCTCAATCGTACATATGATCATTCTGTATCGTCCATACTAGTCATTCTGTATCGTCAATACTGATCATTCCGTATCGTCCATACTAGTCATTCTGTATCGTCCATACTAGTCATTCTGTATCGTCCATACTAGTCATTCTGTATCGTCATACTGATCATTCTGTATCGTCCATACTAGTCATTCTGTATCGTCATACTGATCATTCTGTATCGTCCATACTAGTCATTCTGTATCGTCATACTGATCATTCTGTATCGTCCATACTAGTCATTCTGTATCGCCCATACTGATCATTCTTATCTAAGTCGTTCTGTATAGTGTTAATAACAAGGTGGTTAAAATCAGCTCTAGTCACCATAAATAGTTTCTTGGCGCTATTGAGCTATTGGTAAAGGTGTTTAAAAGCAAGTTGTATGCTTGCCGACAGTTTACTCTAAGTGTTTAATCTCTAGCATTTTGGGTTACATGTTTATCCCACCACTGAATTATTTACCTATACATTTTATCAACATGGAATGATAAATAATAATACATTTTATCCAGTTTTTGTTTATCTTTATAACTATCTATTTATACAAAACCTTTCTTTTTTATTAATAATTCAGTTAACTCAAAATCAAAAACAACAATATTCAATACTTTATTTGTGGTTTGGCGAAATTTGGCCACGGTTAAGTTAAATAATATACAGATTATGTTGTCGCCGGCCTATCAATAAGGTAAATTGGCGACATAAGCAAGAAATTCAAATATATAATAAAAGTCAGAACTCTGTTTATTTCAGCCGTTCTGACCAATATCAATTATCAAAGGAAATAATATGTATCTCTGGAAACCATAATTCGTCAGGATTAGCACTCACGAAATACTGTGTTCCTATTCTTGGGACTGATTTCATCAATTGGCTAGGATGGTAAACAAAACATTCATCCCCATGATGGAAGGTACTCTGAAATTATAAAATAAAACAGACAGCAGAATGTCATACAGGAGAGGGTGAGAGGGAATGAAATTTAAACAGAATTTTAACCCTTTCTTGCAGGTTTAATAAACAGACTTGCAGGATTCTAATCTTAAAACAATATGATGGGCAGTGATTGTCATGCCACAGATACTTAGTTATTTATCTACTTGGGTTAGGATGGTGGGTACGGGCAAGGTAAGTAACGGCAGGGTTTCCTCATTTGATGGCCATTCTGCCTAGAAAAGCAAACCAGCATTACCTGAATGTCATTTGTCACCCTAACATAAACTGTAGATTAAAGTGCACATTGTGCAAAGGAGCAAACATTTGAATAAATATGGTATTAAATAAACAAAAAAAATCCTAAATGATGTGAAAAACAGTTAAATAAAAATATGAAACATATTATAAAAACTAATAAATCATATTTAAATGTGCAAGAAATTATCTTCATTCCAAATTATAAGAAGAAAAATTATTTGAATTGTAAATTATTGTGAGTACTGACTGTGAGATCACAGGTAAATAAATGGGGATTAGATGACAGTGGCCATATGGTTGCCAAATGTCATGCTATACCACTATAAGTTAAAGGTTTTTAATTCCCACGCTTTCTATATCCATTCATAGTTTTCATTCATAAACATCATTCAATTGACTTGTTTTTAACAACAATCTGTCATTTCAGCTTTTAGAGAATCATTAAGTTCTATTTTTTCATTAATGTTTTTTAGTCATTTACAACAATTATTGAACTTTTTTTAAAAATATATCTGAGCGCGATCTGTATGACCAACCGTACCTTAGTTTTAGAAACAAGAATTTTTTTTAGCTAAAATATTCAAATCCATGTGTGTCTAGAATTATCCATGTTTGAAAGTTTAAAAGACGAGTTGTCTTTTTCTTAGACATTGTCATATATAAAAAAGACACCTATAGAAATAAGAAAAGAAATTCCTAGTTTGAGACATTAAAAAAATTCAGAAAACCTCTTTACAATTGCTTACTTCCGGAATGATCATCTGAGTAATAACATTGCCTTTCCTTTTCCATTAATCCACGGCAGGTTAACTTAGCCGATTGGCCACAAACCAGCGCCGAGATAACTGAATTTATTTCATATGGAAATAAATTGTATTATTTCCATTTAAAGTTATCAGTTCCTCAGTTATTCATCAAGATATTGATGATTCATTTCACCACTACTCAGTTACATATCTAGATATTCATACGTTTCATAACTACTCAGTTATTTATCTAGATATTCATATATTTCACAACTACTCAGTTATTTATCTAGATATTCATACGTTTCATAACTACTCAGTTATTTATCTTGATATTCATATATTTCACAACTACTCAGTTATTTATCTAGATATTCATATATTTCACCACTACTCAGTAATTTATCTAGATATCCATACGTTTCGTAACTACTCAGTTATTTATCTAGATATTCATATATTTCACAACTACTCAGTTATTTATCTAGATATTCATATATTTCACCACTACTCAGTTATTTATCAAGATATTCATACATTTCACAACTACTCAGTTATTTATCAAGATATTCATATATTTCACAACTACTCAGTTATTTATCAGTTATTTATCCAGGCATTCATACGTTTCACCACTACTCAGTTATTTATCACTTATATATCTAGATATTCATACGTTTCACCACTACTCAGTTATTTATCACTTATATATCTAGATATTCATATGTTTCACCACTACTCAGTTATTTATCAAGATAATCATACATTTCATTACTACTAAGTTATTTAACCAGATATTTAATTATAGAATATGTCCACTGTTAAAATAGTGCTCAATAATAAATTGTAGAGCGATATAGAAATATATCCAAATATTCATACATTTCATCACTTCTTAATTTTTTTAAATGTATTTCAGTTATTTATCTTTAATCATACATTTGAGCAAACTTACCATACTATATTAATAATTTGCTTGCTTTAATCACGCATATATGCATACTTTTTAAAATTCATTAAACCCATTCATTGATTCATTCATATGTAGTCATTTATTTATTGTGTATACATGCTTTAAATCATTTTTTACTCGAGAATTCATCTATATTTGACCCATGACCAGATATTTGGGTCAATCCTCAAAAGAATGAAACGGTTCACAACTAGAGATAAATTCAGATAGAGAGAATGATTGAGAAAGGTGACAATATCTCAGACGGTATGAACAATAAGGGGTCTATTATTGAAATAAGATATCCTATTTCTATACGCCCACATTATAATGTGGACGTATATTGTCGTCACCCATGTCCGTTGGTCCGTCTGTCCACAATTGGCTTGTGAACGCGATAGAGACTACAGTTTTCATCTGATTCGAATGAAATTTGGTGTGATCATTTATATTGATTAGACCTTGGACAAGTTCGATATTCACGATTTTTCGAATAACGGTTTTTGAGTTATTGCCTTTGACTTGTTGGCTTGTGAACGCGATAGAGACTACAGTTTTCATCTGATTTGAATGAAATTTGGGGTGATCATTTATAATGATGAGATTTTAGTCAAGATTAAATTTGACAATTTTTCGATCAACAGAATTTGGGTTATTGCCCATGACTTAGTAAAAACTCATAAAAATTTGTTGGCGATAGAGGTGACAGTTTATGTCAGAATTTTATTAAATAATGTGTCTTTGTTGAAATCAACAATATCTTGCACAAATTTGGT